TTTCAAATGGTTACTTCCTATTGGTCGTCTTATCTGTCAATGCCACAGACTTCGATGCTGTTTCTCGTTTGACCAAAATGTATAAATACGCATTATCTGTAACATTTTATGACCACGACCAGGACCAGGGCTCGGTCCCGGATCCCTAGTCCGGGGTCCTGATTCTCTTCTGGACTCGGACCTTGTGCTTTCTGGATGCTTGTAGAATACAAGTTCTACTTCATATCACGTCTTCTTATTTTTTACTAAATATGGGGGTTGGGATAATCGGATTTGAGCAGCATGTCATGTCGCCGGATGCTCGATCCTCGCTCTCATTTAGGACTAAAGTAAATTCGTAATAGTTCAAGTATATCAAGTTGACGTGTTTACGTGCAGGCGTAACAAATTTATTCAGAAGAAATTAAAGCGATTGCATTGATGCATGGATTGATTTTATAAAATGACCTGAATTAACGTCAGCTCTCTTTCATTACAAATAGTTTTACAGTTAGTGAAAATTCTACATGTAAAGAATCTAGCGAAAAAAAATTATGCGAGACACTTTCTACGAACAACTTGAAATTTTTATGGCCATCACTGAAAACTGGTGTATCAAATCTACAAGGCATTAGCATTGGGCCAAATAACAACTTCTAATTCAGTTGTGAGCTGTAAATCACGAAGTGAATAGAAGCTCTTTTCTAAAAGCTTCACAAAAACTTACAAGTTTCATAAACTTGACATTGAAACCAAATACTTACTATTGGTTATCAACATGTAATAAAGGAAATAATAAACATTGTTTTATCGTTTAGATTTTTGCAGGCAAAAAAATCCTAATTCAGATATCTTCATCGTTGTTTACATTTCCCATTGGAAGTTCGGTTAATTAATGAAACAACTAAGTCAGGCATATGTTCAAAACACCACACGCAATTGAACTAAAAGTGAGAAGACGTGACCAGTGGAGTTCAACCCTGCTCACGAGTAGGCAGTAACTACCAAAGACAAATGAGTGAGGTCGTGCAAAAATCACTAGATTAATCAGAGTTAGACATGAACACCGTTGGATGCCGGCCAGCTCAGAAGTCCATAGGTTAAGCGCTGGCACGCAAAACCGAAGGTCCTGGCTTGAGATCCTGCGAGCAGCAGGAGTTGTGAATGCACACTGCTGATCAGTCCCATACCAAGATGAAACGGCCGTCTTTCAGTACTTCCAGGTTCTTAATAATGGTCTAACAACGATTGATTGATGACTCCAATGTGCGAAAACACATGTAATTGAGGAAATTGAATTAAAAGTTCCACATTCTGAAGCACTACTATCTCACACGACAATTAAATCAATTTTTTGAAACCATGAATCGATAAATGTTAGACCAAAACCATTAGAAACCTGGAAGCACTGGACGGCCGTTCCGTCCTGGTATGGGACCCCTCAGCAGTGCGCATCCACGACTCTTGCACCCCACAGGATTCGAACCCAAGACTTTCGGGGTGGCGCACGAACGCCCTAACCGTTAGACCACTGAGCCAGTACCTACGGGTGTTAATTCTAACTTGATCAAATTCACGGAGTTGCGCAACCTCATACACAGTCTTCGGTAGACACTGCCTACACCCGAACAGGTTGAACTTCACTGGTCACGTCTTCCCACTGCTGATGAGTCCCATACCAGGACGAAACGGCCGTCCAGTGCTTCCAGGTTTCTAATGGTGGTCTACTAACATTGATCGACTCATGGTTTCAAAAATGTGTCACTTAACATTATTCACAACCCCGTAATGCAAATTAAATCAATAACAATAACTGTTAGAATCACAAAAATAATATCTATCAACTGCTCTTAATGTACATTTGACAATAGCCTTTATGTAAAGTATATAATCATCACAGTTATTTTATTGATTTGATTATAAATTACCTGAAAATGCCATGTTTATATACGCCAATCGCTTGAAGAATAATAGTCACAATTGATGTTAATGGTTTAATTACACAAAATTGTAAAGTTGCCTATGAAAGTAAATGGAAATGAATAAAAATTTTGAAAAAATAAAATAATTCAAAACCGTAAACAAAAATTTCACACACACACACACTTGTCTACAACAATATATGAAATGGATTTCATTGTCATTGTCACTGACACATGGATTGAGTTATGTTGGTAGATATCGACTACCTTGGTTGGCGTCGGCGAGACGAAAGTCACCAATGGTTAGAGAACTTGAACGATATGGCTCCAAACTGTTTGCAATGGCGCAGCTGCATCCATTCTCTTTGTGTTCTCTAAAATTCTAACCTTTTGAATTCCTCATCATCTCTATCTTTCTATTTTTAAATTTATCTTACTGAATTATACTTCTCGAATCATATCTTCGCTCCCTAATCTCTCCAACTACTGCTAATACTTCTACTATCACTACCACTATTGGATTTGAACTGACATTTGCGTCTCTATGCTAATGTGGTGTGATGTAGCAACCTGAACTGATGTACATACGTACGAAATTCTGTATTGTATCTGTCTGTCTGTCTGTCTGTCTATATGTCTCTCATTGTAATTCTATCCAAAAAGTCTATTATATGTAATAATAAACAAGGAAGTATAATCTGTTGTATAACATCAGTGAGTAATTTGAATTTATTCAATGAAATATTTATGATACATGATGAAAATGAAGTCATAGTTTTTTTTTTCCTTTCAGAATAAGCTACAATTAATTTACAACTAACTTAAAAGAATTTAAATGATTTCATGTGATATTTCAGTGGAAAATGTACTAAAAAATATAAAGTTGAGGATGTTAGGATATTCCCCAAATATCCTAAAACGATTATTTGTAAGTCTCATTCTATTGATCAATTCCTATTGGTCATCCTAACTATCAATGTCATACACTTCAAATGTTGTTTCCTATTCAACCTAAATGTATAAATATGAATTATCTGTCACGATTTATGGCCCGGATCCTTAGCGTCTTGTAGACTCGGACCTCGTACTTTCTGGATACTTGTAGAATACACGTTCTACTTCATATCAAGTCTTCTTCTTTTACTCAATGGGGGTTTAAGATTAGAGTAGCTTGTCGTGTCGCCGGATCGTCGATCCTCGCTCTCGTTCAACGACTAATGTGAACTCGTAATAGTTCAAGCATATCAATCTGGCGTGGTCATGAGCATTCGTAACAAAGG